CCGTGCCCACATTTTGACGTCCTCTGTGATCTATAACTGAACAGACGCACAGCAACTTGGAATCTATTTGTTAAATTTCACATGAACCTTACCCACCTTCCCGCACAAGGGGGCCCAAAAACAAACAAAATAAATTATCATAATTTTATCTTCACAAAACACGCAGAAAAGACACGACACATACATACAGGTATACGTAATTCTTCCCAAAGAGGCTTTTTAGAAGAAAGGTACATGGTACAATTAGAATGTCCATAATACATATAAATATAAACAATTGAAGTCAAATTAAGGAGTAATTAATATTACATCGAATTAGCAAAATTTATAATTAGCAAAAAGTCTCTAAAATCTTGCAAATGAAACAGTTCTCTTATTGGTTTAAGGAGCAATACATAATGAAGAAAATTTTTAGCCCAATTCTCTTTTCTACTTTCTGTTGCGACAGAAGCGCTGATTATTTAAAGGGGGGAAAAAAACGCCCATTATTAAAACGCACATGCCAAAAAATAAGCTGCTTTTATTGACATGGTCATTTTTATTATTTCGTAAACAAACTCCCTCCCCTACCCCCTTAGGAAATAATAATTAACACGCCCTTCCCCCACAATGAAGCCTGCGATACAAACCACCACTTCATCTGACCGTGATAACCTTGCGTTACTCGCCTGCGCAGTAGCTGGAAAGTACTCTGACATTTAACGCAATGAACCATAACTTACACAGCAACATTACTAAATTAACACTCTTGTGACAAAAATACTGTTTGATGTAGGAGCTAACTTAACAGACGAAATTGTTCAATTGCCTACAAGTTCCAAGATCGCATCAGTTGTTTTCAGGGAAAGCAAAATCAAAGCTTACTACTTGAACCGATCTTCAACGATACAAAGCAGTTTCATCAGGGACAAAATTCTTCGCTGTTGACACGCAATCTGCTTAACGCTCTGCAGACTTAAAGAAATGGTAATTAGTTTTGTTTACAATACAAAATTTAAAGTTAAAAACGATATATTCCAGATTGGACTGAAACTTGTAAACTTAAACAACCTTTTCTAATTGTAATTTCAACTATAATCCAGAAGGCCGACACTTTCTTTATGGTTTGGCTGCAATCAGTACGCAGTAATAATCTCCTGCATCAGTATAAACTGTCAACGGTTTAGAATTTTCTCCGCTTGTGTACTGAGTACAAAACCTCGATACCTTATCTCTCGTGGCTAGCTCTGAAACAAACCTGCCTTGATTAGTTGCCAAGATAAATGAGCACAAGCTTTCAACATTTTCGAACTCAAGATCCTCCATTTTGACGTCGACACTTTTTATGATTTCGAATCCTGTAGCGGAACACATCTCTTCAATTTTTGACCTTCTCTCGTACCAACGTTTACTTCGCATGCGTTCCATGCTTTCTGAGTTTTGAAGTTCACCATAAATTTTATGTTCGATGGAATGTAAGCGATCGCCGTAAGTCAGGACAATTTTCCCTGCTGGTTTCAGGCTCCGAAACATGTTCTTGAATGCTTCTTCTTTATCCTGAATCCAGTGAAACACAAAGTTGGAGAAGACGATGTCGTAAGTCTCCGAGTCCATTCCTGGGAAGCTGGCAGAGCTTCCTTCATGAAATGCGAGATTTTTTACTTCCCTGTGTGATTCTCGCGCCACTTCTACTCGATAACTGTCGGGATCAACGGCAACGACTCTTCCATCTTCTCCTACGAGCTCGGACAGATACGCAGACAATTCTCCAGTACCGCAGCCCAAATCTAGGATAACATGTCCTCGATGAATCTCTATATCGTCAATCAGTATTTTTCCATGCTCTCTTTGAAAAACAGACACTTGCTGGTAACTCTTTGCCACATTTTTGGAACAGGACATTTTGATTACTTGCCCAAGCTTAGGCGACCGAATCGTAGTAAAGCGTGCCCGTGTGAGATTCGCAAGGGACTTGGCACTAATAATTGGTGTTGACATGATGTTCAACCATCTTTGCCACTGCACAGAAAATAAATGCAATTCTCAAGAGAAAGACCTGTCTATTATTATATTTCACATGAACCTAACACACCTTCCCGCACAAGGGGCCCAAAAACAAACAAAATAAATTATCATAATTTTAACTTAAGAACACGCGGAAAAGACGCGACACATACAGACAGGTATACGTAATTCTTCCCAAAAAGGCTTTTTAGAAGAAAGGTACATAGTACTATTAGAATGTAAATTCATAAATATAAAAAGTAAAAAAATTTGAAGTCAAATAAAAAGGTAATTAATGTTTTATTGAATTATCAAAATATATAACTAATAAAAATTATACGCATTATTGTAAATGAAACAGCTCTCCTAATTATTTAATGAAGAAAATTAATGAAGAAAATTTTAGCCCTGATTATTAAGAAAAAAAACGCCCGCTAATAAAACGCATACGCTACAAAATATGCTGCCTTTATTGACATAGTCATTTCTGTTATTTCGCAAATAACCTCCCTTCCCTACCCCCTTAGGAAATTAAAATTAACACGCCCTTCCCTTACGATGAAGCCTGCTAAACAAACCACCACTTTATCTGACCGTAATAACCCTGCGTTACTCGCCTGCGCAGTTGTTGAAAAGTGCTCTGACATTTTGCGCAATCAACCATAACCTACACCACAACATGACCTAATTAACACTCTGTGACACAGATATGAACTAGGTTAACCCAAATATGACACAAATATGAACTAGGTTAACAGAGGAAAATGTTCAAGTTACTAAATCATAAATGCCACCGCGATCGCATCAGTTGTTTTCAAGGAAAGCAAAATCAAAACTTACTACTTGAACCGATTCTTAACGATACAAAGCGGTTCCATCCGAGACAAAAATGCTTATTGTTGACACGCAATCTGCTTAGCGTTATGAAGTTACAAACTTAAAGGTTAAAAACGACAAATTCCGGATTCGAATGGAACCCGAATACTTAAACAATCTTCTATAATTGCAATTTTAATTACAATCTAAAAGGTCGACACTTTCTTTATGGTTTGGCTGCAATCAATACGGAGTAAAAATCTCCTTCATCAGTATATAACGTCAACGGTTTAGAATTTTCCCCGCTTGTGTACTGAGCACAAAACCTCGATACCTTATCTCTCGTGGCTAGCTCTGAAACAAACCTGCCTTGATGAGTTGCTGCGATAAATGAGCACATACTTTCAACATTTTCGAACTCAAAATCTTTCATCTTGACGTCGAAGCTTTTCACGATGTCGAATCTCGCAGCCGAACACATGCCCTCAACTTTTGACCTTCTCTCGCAATAGACTTTGCTTAGCATACGTTCCATGCTTTCTGAGTTTTGAAGTTCACGATAAATTTTATGGAAGATGGAAGCTAAGCGATCGCCGTAAGTCAGGACAATTTTTCCAGCTGGTTTCAGGCTCCGAAACATGTTCTTGAATGCTTCTTCTTTATCCTTAATCCAGTGCAACACAAAGTTGGAGAAGACGATGTCGTAAGTCTCTGAGCCCATTCCTGGAAAGCTGGCAGAGCTTCCTTCTTGAAATTCGAGATTTTTGACTTCCCTGTGTGATTCTCGCGCCACTTCTACTCGATAACTGTCGGGATCAACGGCTACGACTCTTCCATCTTCTCCTACGAGCTCCGACAGATACGCAGACAGTTCTCCAGTGCCGCAGCCCAAATCTAGGATAACATGTCCGCGATGAATCTGTACATCATCGATCAGTTTTTTTCCTTCCTCTCTTTGAAAAAGCGACGCATGCTGGTAACTCTTTGCAACATCTTTGGATTTGGACATTTTTGTTACCTCCTCAAGTTTACGCGACCGAGTCTTGGTAAAGCGTGCCTGTAAGAGGTCTTCAAGGGATCTGGTACTAATAAATAGTGCCAGACCACCTAAAGAGCTCTCGCCGTCTTCTGTTGTTCAAGGCACCTAAAGTTATTCAATGAGGGCTTACTCAAAGGCTATCAATTCGAGAGGGTTTTTGGTGGCAGCGGCTCTTTCCTAATCTGAATTTTTCGCCAACTTGTTTGAAAATGTATTTTCTATATTCACGATGCTATGACAGAGGCAACAGAGTCTTCTGTGCGATTTCTAGCCTAAGTAAACCAGGTATCAGGCCCCACTCAGACCCTCAGGTGGTGAAAGCGAGGAAAAGGGCGACTGCACTATTGTTGACTGTGAGTATAATTGTCAAGGAAACCGTCACGGAACGACAACACTTTCGAAAGAATAATTATTCCTTGCTCCAAGTTCACGATAAATTCAGATATTCAGATAAATTGACTGTGATCACAATCCAACTTCATAAAAGTTTATATAATGGATAGCAAAGTGTTTCCATTTTTTCGTGTTTCCACGCGATTTAATAAATCATTCGTATTTCTTGGGTATGACTATAAGCAGTTAAAATTCTTTTCGCGGGTTCTTCCGCATCGTTTTTACGCGGCTCCGCTAACTTTATTGTTTTGCTCTCTTCCCTCTTCCTCAGCAGGGCAGGCAATTAGTCTCTCATAAAGAGACTTAACCCTTTAATCCAAAGAGAGACTAGCATCTAATTTCTCCACACAATATCACCCCTGAGTCACACATTAAGGTCATGAGAATAAAGGAAATGATCACCAACGAAAAAAGCTTTGATCAGTTTACAAATTCTCCTTGTCAGCACCTTAGGAAATGTATAAAGAACGGTATGGAGAATATGCTTACTGATGTTAGGGTGTGAAGGGCTAATGAGGCGGATTACTCAACTTTTCCAGAAACAGCTGTATTTGTTATGCCCTAATTTTCGTTTGTACAACAAAAGCAATTGTAATTCTCTACCTAGTCTGCTATCAGCGGAACAACATGACCGACCGGCAATTCGTATGTGATAGTAAAGAAAAAACCGCAAACAATCCTTATAAAACGACAGTGAGATACTACTGTGTGTAGATTCAACTGGAAACCGTCGTTATTCCGGAAAAGAAAAGTTGAAGGGAGAATGCATACTGCAAAGTACCAGCAAAGGGAAACTAGTCCCTCGTCACGTAACTAAAGGAAAAGACGAATCAGGCAAAAAATTTAATCGCTTTTTCTCTATATTTGTAATCAACACCCATCCTTATTCACAAACTACATATAACATGTATGTTCAACCATCTTTGCCACTGCACAGAAAATATATACAATTCCCAAGAAAAACAGCTGTCCATTATTATTTTTCACATGAACCTAACCCACCTTACTGCACAGGGAGCCCAGAAACAAAGAAAAGAATTTATCATAATTTAAACTTCACAAAACACGCGGAAGACTCGGCACATACATACAGGTATACTTAATTCTTCCCAAAAGGACCTTTCAGAATAAAGGTACATAGTACAATTAGAATGTACGCAGATACGTATAAATATAAACAATTGAAGTCAAATTAATGAGTAATTAATATTACATCGAATAAGCAAAATGTATAATTGGCAAAAAGTCTCCACAATCTTGCAAATGAAACAGTTCTCCTAATGGTTTAAGGAGCAATACATAATGAAGAAAATTTTAGCCCAATTCCCTTTTCTACGTTCTGTTGCAACAGAAGCGCTGATTATTTAAAAGGAAAAAAACGCATATGCCACAAAAAAAATACTGCTTTTAATGACATGGTCATTTCTGTTATTTCGTAAACAAACTCCTTCCCCTACCCCCTTAGGAAATAATAATTAACACGTCCTTACCCCACAATGAAACCTGCTAAACAAACTACCACTTCATCTGACCGTGACAACCTTGCATTACGCGCCTGCGCAGTAGCTGAAAAGTACTCTGACATTTTACGCAACCAACCATAACCTACACCGCAACATGACTAAATCAACACTCTGTGACACAAAATATTGTCTGATGTAAGAACTAACTAAACAGACGACATCGTTCAATTGCCTACAAGTACCGAGATCGCACCAGTTGTTTTCAGAGAAAGCAAAATCAAAGCTTACTGCTTGAACCGATCCTCATCGATACAAAGCAGTTCCATCAGGGACAAAAATTCTTCGCTGTTGACACGCAATCTGCTTAGCGCCCCGCAGACTTAAAAGAAATGGTAATAAGTTTTGTTTACGCCACAAAATTAAAGTTAAAAACGACATATTCCAGATTGGACTGGAAATTCAAACAACCTTTTCTAATTGCAATTTCAATTATAATCTAAAAGGCCGTCTCCTTCTCTATGGTTTGGCTGCAATCAACACGTAAAAATAATCTTCATCCATGAAAAACGTTAACGGTTTAGAATTTTCCCCGCTTGTATACTGGGCACAAAACCTCGATATCTTATCTCTCGTGGCTAGCTCTGAAACAAACCTGCCTTGATTGGTTGCCGAGATAACTGAGCAGAGGCTTTCGACATCTTCGAACTCAAGATCCTCCATTTTGACGTCGACACTTTTTACAATTTCGAACCCCGCAGCCGAACATATCTCTTCGATTTTTGACCTTCTCTCGAAATAGAGTTTGCTTAGCATACGCTCCATGCTTTCTGAGTTTTGAAGTTCTCGATAAATTTTATCGATGATGGAAAGTAAGCGATCGCCGTAACTCACGACAATTTTCCCTGCTGGTTTCAGACTCCGAAATACGTTCTTAAAAGCTTCTTCTTTATCCTGAATCCAGTGCAACACAAAGTTGGAGAAGACGATGTCGTAAGTCTCCGAGCCCATTCCTGGGAAGCTGGCAGAGCTTCCTTCATGAAATGCGAGATTTTTGACTTCCCTGTGTGATTCTCGCGCCACTTCTACTCGATAACTGTCGGGATCAACGGCAACGACTCTTCCATCTTGTCCTACGAGCTCGGAAAGATACGCAGACAATTCTCCAGTGCCGCAGCCCAAATCTAGGATAACTTGTCCGCGATGAATCTGTACATCGTCGATCAGTTTTTTTCCATGCTCCCTTTGAATAAGCGATAATTGCTGATAACTCTTTGCAACATGTTTGGAATTGGACATTCTGATCACTTGCTCAAGCGACCGAATCTGGGTAAAGCGTGCCTGTGAGACGTCCGCAAGGGATCTGGCACTAATAAATAGTGCTAGACCACCTGAAGACCTCTGGCTGTCTTTTGTCAAGACCCCAAAGCCAGGGTCAGTTTGGCTCCTTGTCAGCGGCATGGTCGCCAAATAATGACCTCTGGGAGAATGGATTAATTCTACTTTTTTTTTATTGCGTGGTTGATAGGAAAACGATGGACTCCACACAGTATGAGTGATTTACGCAAGGAATCAATCGAGCCGGAAAAAGAGCGTTTTTTCTACCGTTGTTATTGCTGTTTTTTTTCACTTGTTAACTACCAAGCGATGCGTGAAAGATATCCAACCAAAGCCGTTGCGTGCTCCAGTTGCGGAAAGCTGTTCTTCATAGAACGATGGATCGCTGCCGTTGTTGTTGAAGACGCACAGGTAGAAATAAATCATTATATTTATTGTTTTGAATAAAAAGCAGAAAAGAAGGTATTGTAGAGGCCGTGCAAGCGTAAGGAAATGTACCAGTGTAAAAGAGTTCGGCAACGACTCTTCCATCTTGTCGGACGAGCTCGGACAGATACGCAGACAATTCTCCTGTGCCACAGCCCAAATCTAGGATAACATGACCGCGATGAATCTGTACATCGTCGATCAGTTTTTTTCCTTCCTCTCTTTGAAAAAGCGACACTTGCTGGTAATTCTTTGCAACATCTTTGGATTTGGACATTTTTGTTAATTGCTCAAGCTTAGGCGACCGAATCTTGGTAAAGCGTGCCCGTGATATGTCTGCAAGGGATCAGTAACCAGTAATTAGTGCCAGACCACCTGAAGACCTCTCGCCGTCTTGTGTTGTTCAAGGCCCCCAAACTTATTCAAGGGCGAAGTTGCGCTTGTACATTGGACCCCCTTATAACGAAGGCTTGCTTAGCTTAGGTCCTTTTGGGTCATCTCTTTTAACCAATGAGGTCCTTTTGGGTCATCCCTTTTAACCACGACCCTCTTCATATGACTGTGAGAACCCTGCGTTACCCGCCTGCGCAGTAGTTGAAAAGTATTCTGACATTTTGCGCAATCAACCATGACCTATACCGCAACGT